TGTATAACAGAAGAGCAATTGATGCAATCAATAAGACGTTGAATATGTGCTCGTTCAGCTTTATTCAGCATAGAATAGTCCATCTTGCTCTCAGAAAAAAGTGCCTAAAGCGCGATATCTACTGGTGACATTCCAACGGAGTAATTAAGCCTGTCCAATAACTAGCCTGTAACGCCGAAGATCGGTGGACATGATTATAAGCTATCACATGAGCATTGTGGCGTTGATAACGATCGTGGCAGTAATAAATGCTCTTCCTATTGTTCCAGTTAATATTGTGATCCACAGAACGTAAAGCAAAGAATTTGGATTTTTGCAAAGAGCTAAAAAGCTTTGTGATGTTGGTCTGCGTATTATTAAAAGACGCGTAAGAGCTATCAATAAGGGGACAATGTTGTATTCTTGGCACTTTGAAATGGAAGGAATGTCGAGGTATTTCATCTACAGTATTATGAGAACCTTTTACTAAATAAGTAGAAACTGGTTTGTTCGTTTATGTATTTATTTTAGTTACCTTAAACGACTCGTCCTTTTCTAAAATCTCTTCATCGACTTCGCAGCGTTTGACGACAAATCTTCGAGAAGTTCTTATTCGACCTCCTTGTTGTTAATTTATGCACTTAGCCAGGCAGACGACTTCTTGTACGCAATCGCCCATTTATCTCTATGATTTACCATGGCATATCGGAAGTGCCAGAGAAGAATTGCCGTACTGATTGAGTTTGGCAACTTTGGAGTAGGATGAGACGTGGGTCTGCAATTCCTTTTGCGCTACTTCTGTTGACTCGAATCCGAGAGATCCAGCAAGATGAGTGTCGAGCTTGTATGAACCTGTTTCGCCAAAGAGAAAAAATTGGGAATCGTTCTTTTATTCGTTATCACTCCTCAGTGAAATGTAAAATTGGCCTTCGCATCCTCCAATCGCACTGTTCGCGTTGTCACGTGAATTGTGCTGATGCTGACGGACTGATTTCGTAATAGTGATCCTTGAGCATGAAATGTCCTTCAGACGGTAGTCAGAACGAGAGCAAACGCGCTTTATTAGGAATTGGGTCGGCGTTCCTGGAGATGAGGCCGCTGTAGATCGCAGCGATATATTAACGTTCCAATATTCTCTTTGCCATAGCATTGCTGTATTGGCAGCATTTGCGTTTATCGTGTGGCAGCGACTGTCGTTGTGGGTGCAATTGCACTGTCGTTGTGGGTGTCGTTGTGGGTGTCGTTGTGGGTGCAATTGCACTGTTGTATGTGGCGGCGTATAGCATTGTCGTTAGCAGCGGCTAGGGCCGGAAGAATATTAACTCGATATTAATATGCTGCGGACCGGTTGCTAAATGTTGTAAACAGAAGTTAGTCAGTGTCTGATGATATTTATTAGTGGCCACCAACAAACCAGCGAGAAGTAGTAAAGGCTCATACTTGCTAACTCTGGTTCCTGATATAATCTTTCCAATATCGTTATTCTTATGTCTATCCCTCCGTTACTATTTATTACACCAAAGTGTTAACATGACAGACCTCACCTCTTTCACCGTAATAACTGACAAATTAAAAGTACCAACCACCATCTCCTTCAACTCCACATTAACGTGCCGAAGCACTGACGGCCCTAGGATCGGTAGTTATTCAGGAACAACTTGCATTGAAGCGGAAGAAAAAGTTTTTAATGCCGATGGATTCCATTCTCATTGGGTAATAAACGGCACGTGAATAAAAAATCGACCTAATACTTAACCTAATACTAACACGCAACTGTACTGTAAATACTGTACACTTACTACAGAATGGCTCTTAACCTAACAATGGCTTTCTTAGATATACATCATCCTTTCAGTGCGGACATACAACCGAATTTAGATTAAAGCGTTAACATGACAAACTACTGGTATTTACCGACGGGAACTACCGACAATAGCGTAATCTGAAATCTTGCTTGCTCTAATTATCTGGTATTCGCTAGAGAACTTAGTTGCTCATAAAGGCATTCATCAAACCAACCGATAATGCTTAATAAATGGTACCATTGTAGATGTTGATCAAACGAATATCTTTGTAACGCAAGTTGGAACAACTCTCAACGTTGTGTTACTAGTTTATATTTATGGTCTGAACCCCAATTTTATCGATAGCTGGTATCAACCTTTTTGCGCCAGACTATAGTTATACGCATGTTACTAATCTACTTGTTATAAATCATCTCTATCTCGCAAACTATTTGTTAGTATGTTACCTACATATCGATCTTGTATTGTTTGCGGTTGTCATAATTACTGAATTGTCTTTCAATACATGTAGAATGATGCCTCAGTCTATAGCTTGGATAGCTTGGATAGAATTAAGGTAAAGCATTCATTTTGATCAACCTCTTAAATATAATATTGTTTCTTGCATTTCCCTTGTCTTTAAACTATCAAATCTCTCATTCAATATTGTAGTTCCAATGCAATGGTAGTGTGTGATGATGATGGTTAATGGAACAATACGAAACCTTCTTCCACATCCTTTCCTAAACGTTGTTCTTTCTCTTCCACCTCACTTCCTAAATCTTCAATTGATACGTAGCCATTATTCCCACACGTCGTACTTACCGAGAAAATTGTACGTGTTCGACAAAATTCTTGTTTTTATTCGAATTACTGAAACCAATATTTTTACATTTCCTAATTCATAATTGTATCATCCATCTACACTATCATACGGCCAAGATAGTACGCGCCAGAAAATTATCTATGAGATATTAACATTTTATAATAGTTCAAATAGACTGGATGGGGTCTTAGTCCTTCACACGCCCAACGGCACCTATTGAGTTATATGAACCAAGATTTTCTGAACGCCGAACGTGAATATAGTGGAGGCAGCTCTGTTATCTTCGATCCACATATTTAGTTGGTAAGAAGGAAACGAAATGAATAATGTTGACCAATTGAGTGTTTATCGATCATCCATAATAACAAAATCTAAATGGCCTATTCCTTCTCAAGTGATTACAAGAAAAATCATTCCTGTCTACCGTCTAGTTTCTTTCAAGTCATATAAAAGAAGTACCGAACTGCGTCGTGTGTTGTTGAATTACTTATCTTATAAGCTTACGGACGACACATAAAAATTTGTTATTTTATATTGCATCTTTGCCACCAAGGAGTATGAATGAGGGATGAGACAGGCACCATTCATCACTTAACACCATCTTCCTCTCCAAAATGAGTGCATTGCAGTTTGCGATGAAACTTCTTCTAGGCCTGGTGCAGTGTTACACCAGCTGAGCGGAGGGGGGCCTCTTGATAATGAACCAAGTAAAGCCCATTCTGTAGTCCATCAGAGTACTAATTAAACGATTTCTTTTCATTATCATGCAAGTGTACAGTATTATGTTGAGACATGATTAACTCTATATTTAATATTATTTTACCAAACAGGCTTCTTATAAACAATTAATTAATAGTCATTGATCACTTGGCGTTCCAAAAAAATATTTTTCAATTCACGCGCCCGTCCGCAAAAACTTTTAAGTCCGTGATAAAAAATTTTTATTATCCCATCTTGAAATGGGCCGTAACAGCTATAAGGCAGCAACCAGACCTTCGTTAAACCGGAAGTTGCCTAATACGTGGGAAAGTATTTGTGATGAGGTTTAGCTGTCAACGAATGTCACCATGTATCTCGTCTACTCCCAACATAGTTTATTTCCAAACCATGAATCAGTTATAGTACCTTATCATTACAAACGGTCTGTCTGGATCCTTCTTGAGTTAATCTTGCTCTATATCAAAACTTGTTAAGCGTCTGTGTCAGTTACGGGTCCAGTACAGATGAGCTGGTGAACTGTCCTGGAATCCAAGCACAAGATGCACGGCAGACTTGGCAAACGCTGTTGTGCGCGTCATATTCTTGCAGCGCAAGAAGATTTCAAAGCTAACAAACCGCTACTCCAAGAGGTAATTGAAAGCATAAAGTTATCTTTTATTCCAAATTCATCCTGAGTTAAATTCAATTGAGTAATATTGGGGCGCCGCTAAACAATATACACAACAACATGGAACAAAACTCTTCCATCTGCATTTGATTTTGAAACAATTTGATGCGTACTTGTGTCCCCCACCATACTCGTCCATGGCTCAATATGCAAGTGAACGAGCGTAGATTACTCTAGATTCTATCGATGGCAAATTAATATATGATTTACATTCAAGGTTTACATAAACTAATCGTAATAATAGTAATATAGAATTGATTCTCATCTTGATGATGTTATAAAATTACGCATAGATGGTATATAGTTGAGTCACGTGGTATGGCTGATTAAATAATTGGGACAATAACATTGAGTTACTGTAATTGTGTCAATGTTTAAAATTTGAAGAACAAGCACCATTCTAATAGAAAAAAAGTTACGACATTTATTGCAAATTAAGTGTTAAATATATAAACAATAAAATTATATAACATCTGAAAAATTGAGCGAATTAATGCATGCAAAACCAGAATTATCTGCATTTTCCGCATCAATTGCTTCTTTATCAATTGTATAAAGCCAGAGATCCATATACTCTGGAAGTTTTCCATCGGAGCGCACCATTGCGTCATCCGGATTTATATCTGGAGAACCATTTAAGCTATCTCCAAACGCTTCGAGGGAAGAACCGACGGAGCTATCTTAAAAATGTGAAATAATCCCAGTCAGTAAAAAATAGAATAACTTGTGTATTCTGTAAATTTTAATTACACTTACTTGGTTGTTCTCTAGTTATGTATATTTTTTTCATAATTCTGGACAACGAGTAAAAATAAATTTTAACGTTGTCAGGTTCGGCATACCACTTTTTAGTGGCTTCGGCAGAAATTTCCTTCAATGGTTTCTTTTGCCCCTTAACAGATGCCGAAAAGTTCCTTCGGTATAGCAGGAACTGATTTGGTACTTGCCGTATCTCAGTCTGTTTAGATGACGGTTTTAGCAGCCGATCGATTGGCAAATGTAGAGTAATGGGCGGGTTTGCTAACAGCTGTCTTTCTCGTTCGTTCAAATTCGCATCGGAAAAGATACAGGGCGACATGGTAGTTTTTGAACGAACTCGGAATGTGGGTCGGCTTGCCATTGTTAGTTTTTAGATGTAAGCTTGGTTTGTTGAGAGTTTGTTTGGGTTAACTGTTGATGAAAAGGAGAAGCGCGAGTTTATATAAATCTTCGATTTGAATATACTTGGGTAGTTCAACGTGTTAATGTTACTAAAACAATTGCTACTACTATTTTATTGGTGCGTAATTGTTATTGTTCAAACTAATGAGTACGCCTACTGAACTCTTTATATTAATTATTTGGGTTACAATCAATGGATGCCTATTATTCATTGGACGAAAAAAGACACAAGGCGGAAAAACAGATCGCCAGGTCGGCAGTCTTGAATTTAAACTCTTATTAACGACTGAGCATGTATAAAACGTTGATAGTTGCAATACTTTATAAATAATAGCACTGTAATCTGAATGTTGTTTGTATTACAACCAACAGACAACAAAGCTTTTATTAGCATATCGGAAGTCGGAATAAATCTCAATATTATAGTTTGTGAAGTGAATATACTATTTTAATATGGGAGTAGGGGGAGTTTACACTAAATTTAATGTTTGTTGACATTCCCTGATCTGCGGTCGCACGGCTCGATCACCGTGGGATTTATTTGGTGTCATGATTATTAACTAATAGTTCAACGTTGACTTTATAATAAATTCGACAAAGACGAATAATATGTCAAGTTCAACAGATGTACCTGGTAAGACGTAGCGGACGGCAAATGCCGCTCATATATATAATATCTAATACCCGTTGTATATTATATCATAAATATTATCTCATTAATGAAGGTTAGTTTCAGCCTCAACATTAATATTACTCTTTCCAATGCTCCAATTGGATTTTCATCAAGAGTATCTGACAAGCAAGAATCAGTAACTAGATGTCTGCAAAAAATAAGAGCGACATCTACAGTATCTTCCAACGTGAGCACGCGTCACTGGCACAGAAGTATTACGGTAATATTGAACACCAGCGCTACATTTGTGTTGTATTAGTGTTTTTAGATCACCATGACTTTGGATACACTTCTCAGGCTAGCGGCTCTTGTAGATTTTCGAAATAAGAGCTGTTTGCTTTCCCAATGATAAATCGTATCGTGAATTGGGACCTGTCTCAGTTCGGAACCCGACACTCGGTCCAGAACTGAGACAGGTCCCTAACTGAATTCACTGAAATAATTCGACCAAGTTGACTTTTCATAGAATCCCAAACTCTGGCCTTCTCTGAATGAAGATCCTCATGATAAGACGTTCCATTAGGTCAAACGTAAAAATTGGTTTGCATTGTCTAATAAACATATACAATTATAGAATTCATCAGTCATTTGAAATTGATATTCCTTGTAACTCACCAGCCTACATACAACACTTAATAACAAGATAATAATTGCCGTCTCCGTCATTAATCACTGACTAACCTGTATACAATACCATGCATATTTATTGATCCAACAGGCGCTTCATCGAATTGTTTAAATTACTGTCAACAACGATGTAATGGATTTCCATTTGACTGATTGAATGTGTTATCCAAAACTTGGATTAATACAGTGTTGCTGTTATTAATAGATATATATTCCGATTTTCTTCCTTTTCTGATAATATCACCGTTGTCAGTAGCTTGATAAATAGATATTCTGCGGAACCGTTTCTCCAACCTTGAGTTATCATAGCCATTATCTAGAAACAGATTATACGAGTCAATAATTTACACTACAAATAAATTCTTCAATCTATTATTACTTACTCGTTGGGTATATCGGTCGAAATTGGACTCTGCGTCCCATTAGACACCTCACTAATTGTCCACACAGAGTTATTTGGAAAATTCCATACTCCATCGGAGTATGTCAGGGATGTCGGCTTTTTTGAATAGAAGTCCCATTATTGTCGTACTTATCGGTAATAGATTCAATCAAGTTGCTTAACAAATATCCCATCGTAGTAAATTAATGATTTCGATCTCATTGGTAGGCCATTAGACATTGCGATTTTGTTGAGAAACATGTTAAGAATACACTGATGGTCTGACCATCGCATGCTTTAACATTCACTTGGGAAACTAAACTGAACTTGATATATCAAAATAAGATTCTGTACCTCGTTTTCAAAATGACACGTCCACGGGATAATGCTTAGACAGAATTAAACATTGCATAGTCACATAGATCCTATGTCGACCAAACTTCCCTTCAACAGGCTTTTTCAATTTCACTCCGGCTCTTTTCAATTCCCGTAACCCATCCTACACTTCTTCCATAGTCTTTCCAATCGCACCTCTCCCATGCAACCAAAGTCCTCATTTGGTACTTCAACCATCTTAATACCTGGTGCAGCGTTGCACGGTCCGAGCTGTCCTGATGTCTAATTTATCGATCCGATGAAACTTTGCATCTTTTCCTGCGTGCATATCAGAGTAGAATCGTTTCTGGGTCGTTGACGCGATCTTTGCCTCCAGCACAACTGTAATGTAGGATGTATG